ATGGATGGATGGATGGATGGATGGATGGATGGATGGATGGATGGATGATTTGTTGTTACGACCATCTTAAATTAGGTTGACTCCCAAATTAATCCGTTATAAATCTTTGTCCTTTTATTACATTTGGAGCTTCATTTAAATTATTCAACTGGTTTATGAAATATTTTGCTAACAGGTACATAAACACACACACACAAGTTTGTCTTTCTATATGCTGGTGTTTTTTGAATTTGTCTTTCTATCTTTAGAGGGACTTTGCACTGACTTCCATTCATTTTCATTCATTTCTATAGCCCAACACTGACCTTTACCCTAAACTTAACCATTACCAGTACATTATGCTTCTAACCCTAAACCTAACAACAAATTCCATGCTTAATAATCCAGGTATACATACCAACAATTTTCAGTCAGGTCATCCTGACAGTTTCTATTTTTTGGTGCTGAAATGTTTCACCTTCCATCCAGAAGGCTTCATCAGTCAAGAAAACACACAGCACAACTGATTCTTCCCCCAACAGCTTACTCCAAAGTGGAACAAACCAGTTATGTTGGTGCTAAGATGGTCTCTTTGGCACGCCCCCTCCTCCGGTGCTGGCCCTCTTCCTCATCGACAGCCATGTCAACCTGGTTCAAAACCAACAAATTCCATGCTCAATAATCCAGGTATACAATCCAACAATTTTCAGAACCTAAACCTAACACATCCTCAATTCATACCTTAGTCCTAAACCTAACCCCATAACCCAGCAACGGCACTTCTTCTTATGGGGCCTGGGCATAAGGAACAGTTGGTCCTCACAATGTAGTATAAATTGGGAAAATGGGCCTTACAAAGTAACATAAACAAAGACATACACACACACACACACACACACACAAAACAGAGCCCACCTTATGTGGTGATAATTATCTTTTGGACTTTGTAGATAAAATCGTACCAGTGACCGTTCTTGGCCCGTGGGCCTTGAGTTTGACACTTGAGGCCTACGTAATGTTATTATATCTAAACTTGTGATGAAACACTGGCAGCTTGAATTTTTCCAATCATCTTGTGTAAAATGTGCAACATTTTCATACAACGCTGCAAATTAAAAGAACTTGATTTTGCTTTTTTTTCTCATAAGTTCACATTAAAACTCTTATTACAGTCCTGATTTTATTGGGATTTTTGTTTTGACTATATTTGTTGTTCATTATGTGTTGCAAACAAAGTATTCTTGTTTTTTTTATTTGGTTGTTTACCCAGACGTTTCCTGGTTCTTCTCAGCACACCAGCTTCCACTTATAACAACTTCTTTTGTATTTACATCTTCAGTTTTTCATTTGTCTTTGTTAAATCCTGCCCAACCTCTCAGTCCTGTTCCCGCCACAGTTTTGATTTCAACTTAACACCACTTCAGATTTTTCATTTATTTCGGCTGCGCTACAGTATTTTTTTGTTGTTGTTGTTGTTTTTTTGCCTGTTTTGTGATGCCTTGAATTTAAGATATTTTTCCTTCTTTTTATGTGACGTGCTCGATTTGTGTCCTGTTTTTGACTGAAACCTGAAAGCCAAAAAGTGGCTAAACTGAAAAAAATACATACAACTGCATTAATAATCTGAGGCTCCGTACTAAAATACTTTAAATTTGATGATGGAAATGATTCTTTGATTCCATGTGGACACCAGGAAATAATCAAACCTGGACAAGATTGAAAACAAGTATATCTAAATACATTCATTGCAAATTCCCACTGCTCGGAGCACAAAACCTTTTGCAAATAGTAACACATTATACAGCATAAGTCACTTCCATACACTCAGATGTAAGCTTTGTTAAATGATATAACCACTTCATAACGTAACAATTATATTAAGAGTTTAATCATTTATTTCATGAGCAACTGAAAACAGACCGTTAAGATTAAAAATTAAAAACCTGTGTATTTTTATTACAGAATAGTTTGGCTACTCTTTTTTGTAAAGTTCTATTATGCCATCTCCCCCTTTTCTGTTTGTACTGGATAAAGCCAAATAAAATTTGCCAGGTTGTAGTTTTCAATTTCTTTTCTCTCGAAATACACAACTGGATCGAGGGATGTGCTTTGGATCGTTCAGACTCTTGAGTTGTCCTTTTCTGCCAAGTTTCCCTAGAACTGAATTGGTTCATTAAACAATCCATGGAAGCCAACTTACCAGCTGCTTTTCACTCCGATTGTGAGAATCTGTTTTATTAGTGTTCTGTGTTCATTAGATTTTGAGATTCTTGTGTTTTTAGATCTGTTTTCTTGCATCATCTGTTCAGCCTTCCCAGTGTGCTTCCCCCATGTAGTCGGCTCCAGCTCATGCCACCCTCACCTGTTCCTCATTGTCGTTCCCTAGGTGTTCGTCATTATCTGTCTTTAGTAGAAGAAACAAGGTGTCACTCATCTGGGAGTGACAGTAATGCTGTCATAACATCCAGGCTTGATTACTGCAACGTGCTTCTATTTGGAACCAGTCAGACCACTATTCCACCTTTTATAATTCACGTTTGCACGTTCTAGAATTACGCCAATCAAGGTGGCTGCATGTTGGAGCAGCTCTGTTACATTCATTCTGAGATTTGCTTTTGGAAACTTTAATTCCTCTTTTTCTGGATGCAAATCACTTTTTTTTTTTTGGCTGATTGTTTCCTATGGTATTGGATGCTGTGCAGCTGGAAGGATTTTTACTGAAACTTTTTTTTAGTTTTGGATATTTGTTGTGATGTGTAACCATAACAACAAGATGTTTTTACAACCGGGAGCAGCTGATTAGCATCTCAAAAAATATCTCAGCTACAGCCCAAATCTCAAATGAGTTGAAAAAAAAGGCACAGTAGATGCATTCCCGTCTCCCTGCCGGCTGTGCTCGAGTGCCTGACTGCTGAAATCCGGGAACTGGCAGGAAGCACGGCTCGTGACAGCAGAAGGACCAGAATCATCCCCTGGCACCTGCAGCTGGCTGTCCACAGCAACGAGGAGCTCGGCAGGCTGCTGGGAGGAGTGGCCATCTCTCTGGGAGGAGTTCTGCCCAGCATTCGGGCAGTCCTGCAGCCCATGGTAACCGAGAGGCCAGCCAAGTCTGGGTGGACGGATTGGACGGCATCTGCGACCATTTTCTTCAGATCCACTGTGGGACGGACGTTTGCAAAAGATCCTTCCTGCCTACAGCCATCAGTATCTATGACATCTCTTACTGAAACGAGGATAACGAGTTACAACAACATTTAACTTCCCTTTGGGATTAATAAAGTATTTTTGAATTGAACTGAATTGAATTGAATTTACAACTGGTTGAAAATGCTGCAGCCCGATTTTTAACTGGTACAGGTAAAAGAGACTCCAGTTCTGGCCTCCCTACACTGGCTCCCAGTTCACTTTCAAATTAATTTTAAAATCCTTCTGTATGTTTTTAAATCTCTGCACAGTTCTGCCCCCTTATCTTGCTGATCTGCTGCAGCCATATGTCCCATAGCGTTCTCTGAGGTCAGAGACCAGATGATTTTATTGGTTCCAGGCTCATCTTAAGTTCAGAGGTGACAGGTCTTCTCAGTTGCAGGTCCAAGACTGTGGAACGAGTTACCACTGCATGTCAGGCAGGCTCCCTCTCTCACTGTTTTTAAGTCTTGTTTAAAAAACACTTTTATTCCCTGACCTTTGACACAGTGTGAGTTGATTTGAACTTGTCTGTGTTCTACAATGTTGGTCATTTAATGTTTATCTTTATTTATTTGGATCTGTGTATTTTATTCTTTGACCTTTGCTTGTTTTGTTTTTGCTGTACTGTACGGCACTTTGGTTGGCCCTGTTGCTGTTTTAATTGCTTTATAAATAAAATGGTATGTTTAGGTTCATTGACAGTGTGTACAGTTTCTTCCCCGCCCGTGAATTGTGCTTCCCATGGCCATCATGCTCCGTTTTCCTCCGTGTCTCCCTGATTTCAGTTTTTTTCTCAGTGCTTGCTGCCATGTCCGCTGTTTAATATTGAGCTTTTGTTTAATAGATTCAATTTTTTTTACATTTGAGTTCCTCCGTGTCTGTCTGCACTCTGGCGTCAGCACTACACTGATCATGACACAAATAACTTCACATTTCTTTCTCTGAACTTCACTGCTGGGAATGTGCTCACCTTGTTCAAATTCCCTACAAAATACTGCAGATTATCTGAAACAACACTCTTTGTTTCTTAAGCAAAGCATATTTTGCAGTGTTGCTCTAAACGGCGAGTGAATTGTTCTGTTTTTACACCAGTTTAGAGGTCATTATGTTAATCTGTTGATGTCATTGTATTCATAATAGCACATAAAGACAACAGAAGTTGAGCAAAGTGCTTTACAATTCAGTCAAAAATGGAAAACAACAACAATAAAACAAATAAAAAAAACACAAGACATTGTATGTCATTAAGGAAACACAAGTAAAGTTAAAATAAAATGCAGAAACACAGCGTAAAACCATCAGCTCTGAATAGATCTCAAGTGCTGCTTGAATCAAACTCTAAGGGAAAAAGATGCATCTTGAGCAAAGATGTGAAAGTCTCAGTACTCTCAGCGGTTTGTATATGAAGAAGTAAACTATCCCACAGTTTCGGTTTCAGCAACTGAAAAAGCCTGTTCAGTCTTAAATGCTGCTTATCGGTATTTCAGAACTAAATGGTGAATATATATATTATTACTGCGGCTTCATTTGAGTATGATGATCAGTCTCAAGGTACATATATCATTACTGCTCTTCAGCTGCTCGTCCATCTTCTTGCATTTGTTTCTTTATTTGTATTTTTATTATTCATCTTTAACACCATAGTCATTATTGTTGCTCGGATTTGATAACAACTTAGCATCACACTTTTATTAAAGGATGTTGCTGAAATGACACATTTTATGGATCAGCTCTGAAATTGCGTTGCTAATGAACAGAGTGTTAAATTATATATCGTTAATCAAAAATTACACAGAGGCAAATGTTTATTAAGCCTGCAACCGTACGGACACTCCCAACCCTTTGAAATTCAAGGTTCGAGGTTCTTTATTGTCATTCGCATCACATGTGGTACATGAGGTGGAACGAAATTGTGTACTCAAGGTCCCAGTTATACTCAAAAATAGCAAAAAATATTAAATATAAAAAGAAACAGTATATAAGGATCTAAGATTGATGCTAAAAACAAACACTAAACAATATGTTAAAGATCTAAGATACACACTTAACACTGATGATGTAATATAATACGGTAAATTAAACAGCAGCTCGAACATGAGTCTGTAGTGAGCAGATGATACAGCAGCTTAAAGGCAAGAGATCAGCAGTATGGATAATCAGCAGCAATTCATATATCACCAATTAGAGTGGGCTTACAGTGATATTTATTTTATTTTATTTTTTTATTGAGAACTTATTGAGAATGAAATGTAAACTCTGCTGGGCATATGAAAGTTCCCCACACCAACAATGCCACAATTCTTGTTTTCCCCCTTTTTTTCTTCTTAAAACATCCACAAATGTTCAACAGCTGTAAAACCGAAACAACTCTGGGTCACCTTTTTGTTTGTTTTTTTTTTAACCCCAAGTAAGATTAAATATTAAAATAAATGCCCCAACCGCTTTAACATGTGCCCATACTTCTTTAATTATTTCTAAAATAACAAACAAAAAGTCAGAACGACGCTTCAGTTTTCCAGAAAGAATGTTTCATTTTGCCGTCCGATACGTGTGTACAGGAAACTGAACACGTTTTTTAAAGTATTACAACACAGATTCTTGAACACTGATAATCTCGGATGATAAAACGAATGTTCGGTTTCAGTTTAACCTTTTTAATGTCTGACAGAACATGCGGGTCAGAGTTCTCAGAGGGAAGACGTTCTGCTCGAGAAATGGAAGGATGGTGGTTGGGGAAATGAAGGTCAACTTCCTTCTGGTTGATTTAGAGACGGTGATCCATGGCAGCTACAGGTAACCAAGCACGTGCTGTTTTTAACTCTTCTTCTTAAATAAAGTGATGAATGTGAGCTAACAAGCTTTTGCTGAACTCTGCAGCCTCACCTGGACAGACGCCCACCTCCACCAGCAGCTCATTACGGTTCTGAGAGGACCAGTTGTTGACTCCTTTGACATGGAGTTCAGAATCCTGTATGCTGCTTCCGTCCCGGCCCCTGACACATGCAGAGTCCCAGCCAGCGGCCATCTTTATGTGCCTTACCATCAGCCCACAGTCTTTTCCGATTTCAGGTTTTCAAAGCACTTCCTGGTGGAGCCTGAGATGACAAACCCTCCATCACCACCTGAAGATGTCCTCCTGGACTGGGAAGAAATGGGTGTTGTTCATAAAGACATCAGCAATCCTAACAGTCCTTTTGATCTAAATGAGGAAATAGGGACTGAGAAAATGACAGAGCAGAACGACAACAGGGACAGAGTCATCAAGGAAAGATTTACCTACAACGGGCACCAATTTGAAAATGAAAGAAGGTAATATCTGCGTGAGTTCGACTAAACAATTTGAACTTTTAAAGGTGCATTAAGCGTTTCAGTTTATACTCTTTATACTATAATTTAAAGAAGCAAACAAAATAAATTGTTCTGATCTTTTGGGGTTCTGTGTAAACATTATGACCAGTTAATATCTTACCTGTTCTAGATGGAAACCGAGTTTATATTTGACCAGATTGATCGATCAACTAACAACTGATTAGAATGGAGCACAAAACCAAAGTAGATAGCTGCTGCCAATCTCAAGACTTCATGACAATTCATGCAAACACTTTTTTTTTTTTTTACATTTAGCTGCTTCTTTTAGGCTGTCAAGTTTGCATTACAGTTATTCCTGCAGAATTATTATAATAGTCTTGCCCTAAATTCCCAAGCTGCACTAAAAGTGTAACAGCAAACTGAGGCTGCAGCTATACTAGAAAATAACCTCAGGGTTTTTTTTTTTTTTTTTTTTTTTTTAAATAAATAACTGTGTAATTCAAAATTGTTGGAGGTGCATAGGTTTATAAATAGCATTTTCATGAAGCGCTATGAAATGTTTGAGATTAGTGTTGTTTCATAAAGGGACTATGATAATCCACTTCGGTTTATCTCTCTCAGATTAGCTGTTAGTTCATTAGTTCTATCAGAATTAAACTTTATCCTCCCAATGAGGCCTTTCAAAGAGCTATCTAACAGGTAAGATATTAACTATTCACATCTAATCCACTGAGCCCTACTTCAAAAGTTTTCAACTGCAGTGCAAAATTGCATGAATTGACCCAACCAGCAGAACCAGTACACTTAATTTTGTGTTGTAACACATGTTGTTTGGTTGAGATAACGGTGACAAACTAAGCAAACCATTTCATGCAGAAGTTTAGGTTTTAAATCAGCTAATATAACATCTTGAATTTTTTTTGGTTAGTGTAGTTTTTTATTTTATTTTATGAAATCCAAATAAAAAGATGTCCCAGTTTGTCTAGCTGTTACTGGATCAGTGCGTAAAACAATCCAATCCATCGCTTTAATTCACAACAACAAAAATTCTTTACATAATACATTGAATGCAGTTCTCAAGAAGTTTGAATTATGATTTCACAGCAATTTTCTTTAATTTTACAGGATTAATGAGAACACCTCTGCAGTTCCAGCCAGATTGGAAGATAATTCAACAACTTCTAGGCAAGTCTTTTTATAGTTGTTGTTTTATTGTTGTTGCTCATGATACAAATTAAAGATACATTTTATTTTTAATGAAAACTCTAATACTAATTTGTGTTATTGTATTAGCCATACAGAGTCATTATCATCAAACACATCATCGGCTGAAAGAATAATGAGGTAGAGTAAAATATATAATCCTAATTCTAAAGAAGGTGGAACATTATGTAAATGTAGAAAATATCAAATTATTTCTGGGTCTCAATAAACCAGTGTTTTATTCACAATAGAGCATAGTAAGAATATCAAATGTATGTTTTTAAGAAAAGGTAATTTGGATTTTTATTGCAGCAACACATAAAAAGACGGGACCAAGCTGACCACCTTGAATCAGCCAGTCTTCTTTTAGCAACAGTCTGTAAAGATGTAAGAAGTGAGGAGAGCAGCTGCTGGGGTGTGGAGGGGAATGTTGTCCCACTCTTGTCTGATGTAGGATTTTAGCTGATCAACAACCCCGAGTCTTTTCTATGTGTTTAAAATTATATAATGTTCTGCGTTGATGGTCCCTTTCCAGATGTGCAAGCTGCCCATGTCATAGACACTAACGCACCCCTATACCATCAGAGAGGCAGGCTTTTGAACTCTTCAGTTGACAGAGGATGTAGAGGGTCACGGTTTCCAAAAACAAATTTAACGTTTTGATTCGTCTGACCACAGAACAGTTTTTCCGTTTTGTTCCTTTCAAATGAGATTTGAGCCCAGAGAAAACGACAGTGTTTCTGGATGATGTACACATCTGGTTTTTATGTGCATGACAGAACATTACACAGTACTTGAAGGGGGTAAGGTGAACTGTTGTGGACAAGTGTTCCTGAGCAAATGCAGTGAAGTCCATAATAGATGAAGATTACAGACGTCTTAAGTGACGTTCATTCTTGTCTTTTGTGAACAAAGATTTATTGAATCTCTTGAACTGTTTTTGAACAGGTCTCACTTGTAAATGAGTCTTCGAGGCTCAATGTGATTTATCTGTTTAAATAAAGGTTCAATGATAACAATATGAACTCTAGATGATGGGACAGTCAAAGTCTTCCTGATTTTTCTATTGCATAACATAATTTAAAAACTGTTCTGTCTCTGCCCATCTCTGAGAGATTCAGCCTTTCTCAGTGGGAGGACCACCCAGTCCCCCCACTGATCTATTGTCATTTAACCTAATAAGTTGTAAAATCCTTATCAAGGTCAAGGTTCTTTATTGTCATTCGCATTGCATTGGGTACATGTGGTGGAACGAAATTGTGTAGGGTCCCAGTTACATCCAGCAAAAGTATAAATTGTAAAAGAAAAACAGTAATAAGATCTAAGATATGAACTAAGAAATACGCTAAACTAAGAATACACTAAGCACTAGTAGTACAAAAACAATACGTCAAACAACAGCAGCACGAACATGAGTCTGAGTGAGCAGATGAGTATGAATGAACACAGCAGCATGAAATAAATCAGGAGAATGAGATCAGCAGCATGGAGAATCAGCAGCACATCAATCGAGTGGCATTACAGTGATTTGTCTTTTTCACAGAAAAACAGATTTATCCATCTGTTACCGTATTTTTCGGACTATAAGGCGCAATATCAATGAACGAGTCTGTTTTCATATGTAAGGCACATTAAGCGAAACTAAAACATTTTGACAGCTTTTTGAGCACCGTGTACCACATAAAATCAGTTCAAGGTCAGTAAGCACAACCAGAATTAATACATAAGGTGCACCAGATTATAAGGCTCACTGTTGACTTTTGAGACAATAAAAGGATTTTCGGTGCACCTTATAGCCCAAAAAATATGGTAAATTGAATTCTTCCTTGTACAGCTGTTTGTTGCTCCTGTTTAGTCTTTTTTTTTCTTCTTTTTTTTTTTTTTTTGTCTTGAGCATCAGCATCACCTGTGACCAGGAAAGGAAGAAGCGAGTCAAGGTGATGACTGGATGGTTGGATGGTTGGATATTTACTATGTTTCTCTGTGAATAAAATACGTGTTTACGACATTTGCAGATCATTGCAGTTGGTTTACATTTACTCATCATCCCGACTTCTTTGGGACGGGAGTTGAAATAAAAACTCAGAAAGATGTTGTTCTTAAATAGTTACATCTACAATGAAACTCTGCTTCTCCTGCAGGATGGAGAGGAAAGTCGAGAAACGACTCTCCAAAGAATTCTCTGAAGAAGACTATGAAAGGGCTACAATAAGTGTTGATGAAGTATTGAAGACAACAACTGCTTCGTTTAAGAGTAGACAGCATTTAAAATGGGAGACATTTTTAGAAGAGGAGAGCACAACAGGTGCAGTTACTGAGGAAAGCACAACATCTTCAAGAGTGAGTGATGGACTCTTAATGTCAAAGCAACCCAAGTAAATAAAAAAGTGCTGGAGAAAGTGAGGTGACTGTTTTTCTCTCTTTCTTGGTTGGTCTAGAAACCTGTAATCTTGAAGGTGTCAAACACTGAAAACTTCAGCTCTCTGAGCGACATCATGAAGAGGATTAAGCAGGGACCAACAGGCCTGCTCAGGAGAAACGTGAAATCCACGATGTCAGACCGGACCCAGTCCATGATGGATCTGAGCGATTACAGCGCAAATCTAAATCACAAAGTAGAATCAGAAGTACCAGCACCAAGGTTTCCAGGCAATGTGAGTTTATGAGGATATTACACTTGACTTACAGATACTGTATTTGACTCGTTATTGTAAATGAGTGGCAGAACAACGTACTGAGAGGTGAGCAGGAGTCCCTCTCACCTTATCAAACCACACAAAACATGCATTTTTATCAGTTGGGTGTAGAAAAGTTTCACCTGTGTCTCCAACTAAAACAAATGTTGGTATGGTAGTCAGAGATTGACAATATTCAAGAAATCAAAAGTAATGTTTCACTTTAGAAAAACAAATCCTGCATAATATTCACAGAAAATAGAAAACTCTGGTTTTTACTTGAACTAAAAGAGAATTTAACGTTGTCATGTCCCTGAAAAAGAGCTTCGGTTTTACTGTTTTGGGTCAGATGCAGAAATATTGACGTGGAAATATCAATGTTTGACAGTTTGAATTGTATCATACTACTGCAGAAGTAAATGTAAAGTAAAAATTATGTTGCAGTTATTACAATTGGACTTTTTGATCAGTGACCTCCTTGTGAGTCCTTATCCTAGGACAACGCTAAGAAAAAGAAACATTACAACAATAAAGTCATAGTATTATGAGAATAAAGTTGTAGTATTACCAGAAAAAAGTTGTACAAGAATAAAGTCGTACAAGAATAAAGTCAAAATATTACAAGAATAAAGTTGTAGTATTACGAGACTAAAGCTGTACGAGAATAAAGTCGAAATATTATGAAACTAAAGTTGAAATATTATGAGAATAAAGTCGAAATATTACAAGAATTTAGTTTAAATATTATGAGAATTAAGTCAAAATATTACAAGAATAAAGTTGTAGTATTATGAGAATAAAGTTGTACGAGAATAAAGTTTAAATATTACGAGAATAAAGTCGAAATATTACAAGAATAAAGTCGAAATATTATGAAAATAAAGTCGTATTACGAGTATAAAGTTGTATGAGAATAAAGTCAAAATAGTACAAGAATAAAGTCAAAATATTATGAGAATAAAGTCATAGCATTATGAGAATAAAGTTGTAGTATTACGAGAATAAAGTTGTATGAGAATAAAGTTGAAATATTACAAGAATAAAGTCAAAATATTATGAGAATAAAGTCATAGCATTATGAGAATAAAGTCTTAGTATTACGAGAATGAAGTCGTATGAGAATAAAATAAAAATATTACAAGAATAAAGCCAAAATATGAGAATAAAGTCGTACGAGAATAAAGTCGAAAATTACGAGAATAATATGTTATCTAATAATACTAAGACTTTATTCTTGTAATATTTCGACTTCATTCGTGTAATTTTATTACTTTTTTCTCCCAATGTATTTTTTTTCTTAGTGTGGCCCTAATACTCCATCATATTATCCAACAGTCAGCTTTATTGGGTTAATTGTAATTCAATTTGATTTGTCTGATTCGATTTATTTTGACATGATGAACACGATAAACAACTGCTCGATTTAATACATTTGAAAAGCGACAAAACTTAAAACTTGTTAAAAGATGCAAATATTTTGTATAAATTGTAATAAATTGTAGCCCTTGTCTTTGGCTAAGCTTAAAACACACAAAAGGTTTAATATCTTAAACAAATGTACTGCAAAAATTACAAATAACACACAAAATATAAACAAATAAGAACAAGAAACGAACGATACACGGAGCAGAAAATGTGTTTTAACCAAAAAATTAATTATTTGGAAATTTATAGATTTGTCTTTGGTTTTGTCAAAGTTTTATCTGTGAGTCAAAAACTCTGAATTCATCATTACCCTCTCTTTATAAGAGATGAACAGGGTATTTCTCACTAAATGCAAAAACAAAATACTGTCTGTCTATCTAAACAGAAAATGGATCTTTATATTCTGATGTTCTGTTTGTCATGCAGCTTGATCCGGATCATATGACGCCTGCTTTGGCTCTAATGAAGAAGAGGAACAATGCAGTAAAATCTTCTCTGAGCAGACCTCTCCTAAACTTCACACATTTAGAAAGAACCCACAGCTCCAGCTATATCACTGATATTATTCAGTGGAAGTCTCGTTGCAACAAGGACGAAGAACTAGAGAACAAATGACGAGAGAGGATTCTCCGTCACTCAGGAAGAACAGCTCGGGACGTCTGCTGTATTGACTGGAATTATGAGGAAAAATACTTTCATTTACTGACTGAATGCATACAGATGCTTCATATCTTTTAATGCTATTGTACATAAAATAAATCATCAATGCTGCTCACAAACAGCACAGCTTCCTGGTTTATTTATTGAACAGCTTGTTTTATTTCAAGTGATTAGTTAAAAATACATTTATTTTAAGTGTGACTTTTTTTTAATTTTGTAAGGAAATCTGCTAAATGCAGCACATGAGACATGTTTTTTTCCGTCTTGATTAATGAGAGAAATTATGGCAAAGAGAATTTTATTTATTTATAAATCTTAGCTCTTCAATAATACTGAGTGTCTTAATCTCATGAGCTGTGGTAATTCTCAAAAAACAGTTTCAGTCTTTAAATATCCTCTCATCATCTTGAATATATGTATTAAAGCAGAAGTAGTGCATTTAAAAATATTTTTGATTATTACTTTCATACCTTTTATACAATACATCATGCATGTACATGCATCAGGATATTTTATACAATACATTTTGCTCTACAGTTTAGAGCAATTTACTCCTTTATAAAAGCTTATTAGTGTTTTTAAGTCATTCAAAACATTAAACTCTGGACATAAAATGTCTTATTTGATGGTGTTTTGGATATACAAAATAATTAATTAAATAAATAAACTACAAGACAGTTCCTTGAAAATACTACCACAGCAATACTTGAAGATTAAAGTAGCAAGTATCAAAAAGGTACCTGAAAGTAGTAGAATTGTAACTAGAACCAAAAAGAACCAAAAGCTAGCTAAAATTTAAAACTAGTAAAGGACAAACTGCAAAAAGTAACAAAATAGTTGTTTAAAACTACAAAGATCTTGCTTGGATGACCATTGACATGACCTGATGCATGCTCATCAATCCAGGCAGATAAATCTAACAAGGTTGAGTCAGGTTCTTTGGATCGATTCTTCTTTGTTGAAACGTTTCGTATTTTATCCAAACTGAAGAAGTCTTTTGAATAAAAGATGAAACGTTTCAACAAAGAAGAATCCGTCCAGAGCACAAGAAATAAAAAGAAATCCACTCCAGTCCACCAGGTGGCGCTCAGACTGATTGAAACGATTTAAACCATAGAAGAAGACAAACCCGGAAGCACATGGTGGATGATTGCTTTAAATATTAGAAAACATCCAACACGAGCAGAACGTTTAGGTTAACTTTAATTTAAGTCCGCATGTATTAATTTCGTGTTTTGGTAGTTTAGGCATCTCAAAGTTTTATTTTCTGGCTTTTAGCGAACAGACCCAGGTTCATCATGGTTCGAGCGCTACGGTGAGTTTGAGATATTTAGTTCATCATGAATTTTACCCTTTGCAATTCATTGAAAGTCTTATTTGTTTTCTTAAGGTCGCACCAGACAAATAATAAATGTCAATACATTATACAGACATGAGTTGTGATAAATAATTTTGTCGTAATATTGTGTTAACAGCCTGCTGTTTATTCAGCTCAAGAATTTAAGCGCATTTTATTTTAATGTGTTTAGGAGGAGAAAAGTCCAGAGGCCTAAAAAGGTCATGTCATATGATGAAGATGACCCTGAAGCATATAAGGACATGCCGGTTCCTGACAAGGTGACAAAAACAAGCGTACCTGTCTGACCTTTCAGCAGTTCTCTTCAGTGCACATCAGTTTATAAAGAAATAAATCAGATTTGCTAATGACATCATGTAATATGGGAGGATTTGGTTGTTATATAAATGGTGTGTGTCTAGGAATAAAATTGATCAACTCAATCGATCATCATCAGGTAAATTATGTAGAACACTTAGAGTCAGAGTCAGAGTCAGAGTCAGAGATTCTTTATTGTCATTCGCACCTCATGTGGTACATGTGGTGGAGCGAAATTATGTACACAGGGTCCCAGTTACATCCAACAATAAAATGTATAAGAAAAACAGTAATAACATCTAAGATATGAACTAAGAAAAACATCAACTAAATATACACTAAGCACTCATAACATAAAACATTGAACATCAGCACAAACATGAACATGAGTCTGTGAGCAGATGTGCACGCATGAACACATCAACAGTGAAACAGATCAGCAGCAACATAAAACAGATCAGCAGCAACATGAAACAGATCAGCAGCAACATGATATGGTTTTTCACAGTGATTATTCTAGTTAGAGATTCATGAGTCTAACAGCCTCAGGGTAGAAGCTGTTCCTCAGTCTAGTGGTTCTACACTTAATGCTCCTTAACCTCCTTCCTGAGGGGAGTGGGGCAAAAAGTGTGTGTGCTGGGTGGGTGGGATCCTTCATGATGCAGGTGGCCCTCTTCCTGCATCTGGAGGTGTAGATGTCTGTGATGGTGGGGAGACTGACTCCAACAGATTTCTGTGCAGCCTTCACCACTCTCTGCAAAGCTTTTCTTTCTGCAGCTGTGCAGCCTCCATGCCACACATTGATGCTCGAGCACAGGATGCTCTCCACTGCACACCTGTAGAAGGAGGTGAGGACTGAGCTTCCCAGACCAGCTCGCCTCAGCCGTCTGAGGAAGTAGAGTCTCTGATGAGCTTTCTTAATCAGGCTGGTGGTGTTGTTGCTCCAGCTGAGGTTGTCATTCATGTGTACACCCAAGTACTTGTAGCTGGAGACCACTTCCACCGCAGATCCTCTTATGTTCAGGGGGGTGTAGGTGTTTTTGTTCCTTCTGAAGTCCACAATCATCTCCTTTGTCTTCTTCACATTGATGTGAAGGTTATTCTCTCTGCACCAGCTCTCCAGGTGTTCCACCTCCTGCCTGTAGCTGGACTCATCATTGTTTGTGATGCATCCCACCACCGCTGTATCATCTGCAAACTTTACAATGTGACAGCCTGGATGGGTAGCTGCACAATCATACGTGAGCAGAGTAAACAGGAGGGGGCTCAACACACATCCCTGAGGAGAGCCAGTGCTGAGGGTTATGGTGGAGGAGGAGAGGTTGTGGATCCTCACTAACTGTGGTCTGCTTGTTAAAAAGTCTAGTACCCAGTTGTAAAAACAAAGTAGTAAAAACAAAATGACATAGAAGTAAAAATGAAACATTTATTGTTACAAAAAATAAATAAATAAAAATTTGCACTGTTCTTTCAGCTTTTGCAACAAATGTAGTTTTCAGTGCAAATTTGACTAACCTGGTTAAATGTAGGTAAAAAAAACCCAAAAAACATTTATTTGTCTCTTTTGATACGACTAATGTTTATGTGGTTAATAGGAAAGTCACGCTCCCCTATAAAAAATCTGTCATTGTTCACTGTTAGGTTGATTTTTGTAGGTGTCTGCAGATAGAAAGAGAAATAAATACAGAATTTGAACAACAATCTCATTTGTTGTAAAAATATTTAGGCACATGAACTTTTTAATAATTTCAATTTATTTTTTATGACTTAATGAAACCAAAACGGACTCCAGCAATTTTCATTCAGGTCATCTGGACAGTTTCTTTTTTGTGCTGAAACTTTTCACCTTCCATCCAGAAGGCTTCATCAGTCAAGGAAACACACAACACAAAACTGATTATTCCCCCAAACAGCTTACTCCAAAGTGGAACAAACCAGTCTTGTTGGTGCTAAAATGGTCTCTTTGGCACGCCCCCTCCTCTGGTGCTGGTCCTCGTCGACAGTCATGTCAAAATGGTTCAAAACCAACAAAGTCCATGCTCAATAATCCAGGTATACAATCCAACAATTTTCAGTCAGTTCATCTGGACAGTTTCTTTTTTTTTTTGTGCTGAAACTTTTCACCTTGCATCCAAAATGGACTCTTGTTTTTTAAATTGTCAGTGAAGCTACATAGGTTTTTATTTAGACTATTATTAGATAATAGATGAACTCTAATTTTTAACAGTACAAGAAGATGGCTGAAGATTTCATAATCCCGATATTTGTCGCAGTCGGGACAAAATGTTTTTTTATTCAAACTGTGTTTTTAACTAGTGAAATTAATGGTTTTGGACTAATGTGATATTGCATAAAGAACATATGAAACTTTCTTATTTTTTTTAAAATAACTAAATAGTAACTTGCATCAGCAAAAGTCATCTCAGGTTTCTGTACAAAATAGCTAATGGGTCCAATTCAAATCCATGACTTTCTATATAATCCAATTCCAACTCGGTCAGATAAAAAGTCAAATTCCTATTTATATCTAGTTACAAACACTTCTGCCATTTAAACACAAACCATCTAACCAGTTTGTTTCAGTACTGTAACGCTGATTTCATGTCAAGTTGTGATTTGCAATAGAATTGTTTCTCTTACAGAAATCGTCTGAATACATAAAGGACAAGATTGACGAGTTCCACGATGAGAAGATCGCTGTAAGTTCATAACTTGTACTACCACAATTTAGTGAGCGGCTGGTGTTGGTGTTCTTTAACTTCTTCCTCTGTGGTGCCACAGAAACTTCTCGCCCGCGGAGTTCAGCTGGAGAATGATGAAGAGGAACTGGACGATGAGGTTTGTTGTGATTTTACTTCAGATGATAAAGGTGCTTCCAGACCAAACTCAACTTTGTCTTAATTACACAGGAAGAAGTGATGGCTCTCAATATTTCAGAAACGGAAGACGACGACGAGGAGGAGGAAGAAGAGGAGGAGGAGGGGACAGATTTGGAAAGTGACTTGGAAGAGAAAAAAGATGAAGGTGTGGCCATCAGGCTTTTTCAAGCTTGTTTTACAGTTGAGCTCAAACGTTTAACTGGTATTCTCTTGCTACCCTCAGAGCTTCCTAATGTGATGGCGTGGGGCACCAAGAAGAAAATTTTCTATGACTCAGAATATGTAGACATCAGTAAGATTTTTATTATTTTTTTATCTCCAGCCTTATCTGTGATATTTTTTTTTTTTTAAGCATGTGGGCCTTTTCTTTGCATATTGAATTTTTTATTTGGGTTACTGCAGAAGGTAAATCACGTGAAGACTTAGAGGCTGAGGAGCAAGAGGAAGAAGAAGAGGCAAAAAATATCCAGAAACGATTAGCAGCAAATCTGAGCGAAGAGGATTACGATTTAAACTTTTTTCAGGTAGCTTTAAATCGATCTCTCTGGTGTGCATACAGTTAAATCCATACGAGATTATGATGTTTTATGACTTTTTGTGTGACTGTTTCTCTGAAGGAGTTTGCAGTAGAGGAGAAGGAAGGCAAGCCTGCAGAGAAACAGGAGAGGATTGTTAAAGACTTAAAGCAAATGTCTAAGAAAGAAAAAATGAAGCTTTTGAAAAAAGAATCACCAGAGCTGCTTGAACTTATTCAGGACTTAAAGGCAAAGGTAAGACCAGCAGCAATCTGAAATAACTTGAAACAATTAACCTTTTTTTATGCTGACTGATTAATTTTTTGGTTTTGTGTGTTGTGTGCAGCTTAGTGAGCTGAAAGAAGAGCTGAAGCCTCTCATGCAGATGGTCAAGGATGGAAAGATCCCACCAGGAAAGGTGAGAGCATGGAACTACTTTTCCACCAGTGCTTTTTCTCTCAGCTTTAAAGCTCATACAGGAAAGTTTTACATGTTGTTTCTTTACATCGTTTGCATGTTATGACCTAGCTCAACCAGGAAATGGGGAGGTAACATTAATCAGAATCAGAGTAAACTTTATTATCATTGCACCGAGATACAACGAGAACCTGTACGTACAGTCGTCCGGAAGATGGGTGGAGTGCACGAAGCTGCTACTATAAAAAGCACGGCCCTCTTATTCTTATTCAGAATAATGTTTTGCTTAGATGAGAAAAGGGAAGAAAACAGGAGGAGAGACGGTATAAAATATGACGTCACTACGGATACTCGAGTAACATTTTAACCTCGATAGATGTCCTAGCAATCGATGTGTAGATTACTCAAGTACTCTGTTAATGCCCTAGCTAGGAGTACAGGTTGCACTTATGATGCAAGTAGTTAGCATGTGACAACCATGCCTAACTTATCTGTGATGTAGTGGGAGCAATGGGTTTTTTAAAAAGCCCACAGCATGCCTCGTGTTTTAACTGATGAACATAGATATTTTTCTGACTTGTGTGGCACTGAAATAGAGAGCGGGGTTGGTACTTGTTTACTTTCAGACACAAATGGTACAATGAACATGTCTAGTCATTACAAATCCTCTACTGGCCATGCACTTGATCTGGTTCAGGCATGTACAAGAAGTAATGGTTCTGTATGTAGTGTATGCCTTCTTGATTTTCAACATCTAGCATGGCTTGGCCAACTTTTTTTCCCCACAGACTGCCGTAGTAGCACCTACGACAGGCTATGAGTGAGGCTTTAGCAGTAAAACACCAGCAGATGGCATTAAGCAGCTGGTGAACAGATTTGTTTCTGAAGTTAGTAGAGACCAGAGCGGTGCACCAACAAAAAGGGGTAAATCTTCTTCATTAGTGAATTTTTAAACAAGTTTATATTTTAACAAATCTGTTAGTGTTGGTGAAAACTCAAGTTTATTGTGAAGGGAGCAAACTTTTTTTTTTTTTTAATTATAAATTGTTACCATACCATTTTATTTATAGAGCACTTAAAACAGTGACAAGGCCAACCAAAGTGCTGTACAAACAGAAAACAGGCAACGCACAAAGCAACATACAAATTGAAGTAAAATCAGAATAAAGACACAAAATCATTGCAGATAATAAATACAGGTCCTTCTCAAAAAATTAGCATATTGTGATAAAGGTCATTATTTTCCATAATGTAATGATAAAAATGAAACTTTCGTATATTTCAGATTCATTGCACACCAACTGAAATATTTCAGGCCTTTAATTGTTTTAATACTGATGATTATGGCATACAGCTCATGAAAACCCAAAATGCCTGTCCCAAAAAATTAGCATATTTCATCCCACCAATGAAAGACAAGTGTTTTTAATACAAAAAACACCAACCTTCAAATAATCATGTTCAGTTATGCACTCAATACTTGGTCAGGAATCCTTTTGCATGAATGACTGCTTCAATGCGGCGTGGCATGGAGGCAATCAGCCTGTGGCACTGCTGAGGTGTTATGGAGGCCCAGGATGCTTCGATAGCAGCCTTAAGCTCATCCAGAGTGTTGGGTCTTGCGTCTCTCAACTTTCTCTTCACAATATCCCACAGGTTCTCTACGGGGTTCAGGTCAGGAGAGTTGGCAGGCCAATTGAGCACAGTAATACCATGGTCAGTAAACCATTTACCAGTGGTTTTGGCACTGTGAGCAGGTGCCAGGTCGTGCTGAAAAATGAAATCTTCATCTCCATAAAGCTTTTCAGCAGATGGAAGCATGAAGTGCTCCAAAATCTCCTGATAGCTAGCTGCATTGACCCTGCCCTTGATAAAACACAGTGGACCAGCTGACATGGCACCCCAGACCATCACTGACTGTGGGTGCTTCACACTGGACTTCTGACATTTTGGCATTTCCTTCTCCCCAGTCTTCCTCCAGACTCTGGCACATTGATTTCCGAATGACATGCAAAATTTGCTTTCATCCGAAAAAAGTACTTTGGACCACTGAGCAACAACAGTCCATTGCTGCTTCTCTGTAGCCCAGGTCAGGCGCTTCTGCCGCTGTTTCTGGTTCAAAAGTGGCTTGACCTGGGGAATGCGGCACCTGTAGCCCATTTCCTGCACACGCCTGTGCACGGTGGCTCTGGATGTTTCTACTCCAGACTCAGTCCACTGCTTCCGCAGGTCCCCCAAGGTCTGGAATCGGCCCTTCTCCACAATCCTCAGGGTCCGGTCACCTCTTCTCGTTGTGCATCGTTTTCTGCCACACTTTTCCCTTCCCACAGACTTCCCACTGAGGTGCCTTGATACAGCACTCTGGGAACAGCCTATTCATTCAGCAATTTCTTTCTGTGTCTTACCCTCTTGCTTGAGGGTGTCAATGATGGCCTTCTGGACAGCAGTCAGGTCGGCAGTCTTACCCATGATTGCGGTTTTGAGTAATGAACAAGGCTGGGAGTTTTTAAAAGCCTCAGGAATCTTTTGCAGGTGTTTAGAGTTACGTCGTTGATTCAGATGGTTAGGTTGTTAATAGCTTGTTTAGAGAACCTTTTCATGATATGCTAATTTTTTGGGACAGGCATTTTGGGTTTTCATGAGCTGTATGCCATAATCATCAGTATTAAAACAATTAAAGACCTGAAATATTTCAGTTGGTGTGCAATGAATCTGAAATATATGAAAGTTTCATTTTTATCATTACATTATGGAAAATAATGACCTTTATCACAATATGCTAATTTTTTGAGAAGGACCTGTATAACGACTAACCTGTGTGAAGCATGCACAGATCATCTAGTGTTGAAAGCTATTGAATAGTAGTGGGTTTTTAAGCGGGATTTGAAAACCGAGAGGGAGGGGGGCCAGTCTGACAAGCAGAGGTAACTCGTTCCAAAGTCTTGGTCCTGCGACAGAGAAGGCCCTGTCACCCCTGCGCTTAAGGCGAGTTCCTGGAACTGTGAGGAGCAACTGGTCTGCTGACCTCGGAGAATGTGGAGGGACATACGATTGTAGCAAATCAGAGAGATAGGAGGGGGCAGAACTGTTCAGCGATTTGTAGACATATAGGATTATTTTGAACTGGATTCAAAGGTGAACCGGTAGCCAGTGCAGGGAGGTCAAGACTGGTGTAATGTGCTCTCTTTTGCCTGTACTGGTTAAAAATTGGGCTGCCACATTCTGGACCAGTTGTAGTTGTGCAATGGAGGTCTGACTGATACCAAACAGGAGCGAGTTGCAGTAATCAAGCCTAGATGTAATGAATGTGTGTATTACTGTCTCCAGATTTTCTTTGGACAAAATGGGCTTCAGCTTAGAGAGTCGCCTCAGTTGGAAAAAACAGGATTTAACAATCATGTTTACCTGACTGTTAAGTTTCATGAAAGGGTCCATTATTACTCCCAGATTTGTGACTCTTTGTTTCTCTAACGGGGCTAGGGAGGAAAGATCGATGCAGTAGTTTGTGATCGTGTCGTTGGGAGGGAACAACATGACTTCAGACTTCTTCTCATTAAAACTTAAGAAATTTAAAGCCATCCAGTCCTTGATGTCAGCCAGGCAGTCGAGCAGAGGTTGAATAGAGCATGTACCATTGTGTCTTGGGGGATGTAAATTTGACAGTCATTGGTGTAGAAGTGAAAGGGTATGTTGTGTTTTTGGAAAATAGCACCAAGTGGCAGCAGGTATAAAGAAAATAGAAGGGGACCCAGGATGGACCCCTGCGGTACCCCCCATTTAAGCTCTGCCGCTGCTGAACTAAAATCTTTGGTGGAGACACAAAAGGATCTGTCAGCAAGGTAGGCTCTGAACCAATTGAGGGCTGACCCTGTGATGCTCACCCACTGCTCTAACCTAGCAATGAGGATCTCATGGTCGATGGTGTCAAAGGCGGCTGTGAGGTCCAATAGGACAAACAGCACAGAATTACTGGTATCTGTGGATATGAAGATGTCATTAAAGACCTTCAGCAGGGCAATTTCAGTGCTGTGGAGAGGTTTAAAGCCAAATTGGAATAGCTCTAAGATGGTGTGACCCTCCAGGAAGCACTTCAACTGGGACTCAACTATTTTCTCCAGTATTTTAGAAACATGGGAGTCTGGAGACAGGCCGGAAGTTGGAAACGACTGAGGGGTCAAGGTTTGTTTTTTTCAGGAGAGGTTGAACAACAGCATGTTTAAAGGTTTTTGGCACCAGGCCAGTGGATAAACTGCTATTCACAATAGCAAGAATAGAAGGACCCAGAGTAGGGAAAACCTCCTGTAGTAGTCGAGGGGGGACCACATCAAAGGGGGAACCAGATGGTTTCATGCTGCACATGACCTGCTCCAGAGAAGACAGGGAGATAGACTCAAAATGGTCACATGAAGTTTAAATGTCAGGGGATTTAGATCATAACACTGATATGGTTTTCAATTCAGTCCATGAATTGAACACGCTTTGATTAAATCATGTTTCCTACAGCGTTGATGCCATCAGTCTCTGAAGACTGTTTGCACTTTACTTGGTACAATAGCCAATGTTTGTCCCACAATCTGGTCGTTGTTTGTCATGCAACAGAAACAGACTGTCTCACAAAGATGAATGAAAACACTCAGGTATAGGTGAGGTAGGTTTACAGGACTCTTCTTTTCACAAATGGAGTCTACTGATCGTTATGTAGAATTTAAGTTGAAAAATAGCTGCTTAGAATCAGTTTAAAATCTAAATAAACGTGCATTTTTCCCTGTAGCTCGTTGATTTGATGTCTGACAGTGTTGATATTTGCTATGCACATGTGAAGCCTGCTTTAAATGTTTTAATTTTCTCTCGACTAAAGAACAGAATAAATATTTTCTCTAATGGGTCAGAGATTGTCCTGCAGAGTCACTCCAGACATGTGATACTTGAACAACCCTTTGAGCCACATCTGTATTTTAGGGTTATTAAGTTCAATGTGTAAATGCATTTTTAATAGTTACTTGTATTTGTTTCTTTCCCTGTGAGGAAAGGAGAAATGTTTTGTCACGTGAACCTGTTGTTTTATATCAGTCATGCATGTGTGAAGCTAAAAATGCTGTTTTTGTCTTCCAAAGGGGGCAGATTATCTTAAGACTAAACAGCAACTTTATCTCAAGTAAGTTGATATTAAAGTGTAGCTAAATGTGCTTCAACCATCACAGCCCTGTGACTGAGGAACACTTCTCTCTTGCTACAGTTACTGCACAAACATCAGCTTTTACTTGGTCCTAAAAGCAAAACGAATCCCTGCACACAACCACCCTGTGATTGAACGACTGTTAACCTACAGAAACGTAAGTTCACGCCCTGACAGTGGTGTTTAATGATGTTTGACCCGGAGCTGAAAATGCCTGAGAAACGATTTGGTTCACTCCACTAAAACAGAATATATGTGACAACTCCAACTTGTTTTAAAAGATGGAGAAACGGTGAAGAACAGTAAAACAAAGAACAAAATGAATTAAATTGTTTTCAGCAAGTGTGAGTTTTCATTTAACAGACTTCATTTTTGGATTTGATAAACTTACGTAGTCTGACACTTTGTTTTATTTTATTTATTCTTTCTTACATTTGGTCAGCAAGGAGTCATAAACTATCATTAAAACCAAAATGTTCCTAAATATTTAGTGTTTTGAGGTTTAAGGTTAAAAGTCTTATAAAACTGGTGATTAGCTGTAGAAAATCGATGACAATAGACCTGTAATTTATTTTTAGATATCTAGTGAATTGAAATCCTGCAATTTATTTATTTATTTTTTTTTTGCAAAAACCCGCAGTAATTACAAGGTGACTACATTCAGAATTCAGAATGCCTTTATTGTCATTATACATTGTACAATGAAATTAAGAGCCACTTCTTTTTTCAGTGCAAAAACATGCTTAAGAAAAACACACACTAAAAATATAAAAAATGTAATGCAATATAGATGTAATAGCACTATGAAAGTAAAAAATACAAGTATTTCACAATTATATTGCACATTATTAGTGAGGTAGTTAAGGTGATTGAGAGTATGAAATGTCAGTAGTAATAGAAGTCTTTTATTAGACATATTTGGACTGATGCGACTAATACTGCGGTGCGACGTGTACGTCGGAAAATACTGTAGTAACATTAAAATAAATGTGGACCTAACACAAGTGTTATTCAGCAGAAAGTATGATTTTCTTGAAACAAATGTTTATATATTGTAGGATTAACAGTCCTCAGATCATTTAATTTTTATGAGTAATTTTATTTTGAAGGGGCACCACTGGCTTCCGGTTCTGAAGCCAGAAATTATTAATTTATTCAAACAGACTCAAGTTTAATGCTCTAGTGAATTCTTTTCGTATTAAAAAAAAGTCATAAAAACGCTTTGAGTCAAAGTACAATTTTTTGAGATTTATTATCAATTTTGGTGAATATAAGTGATCAAATGGTGATGACAGCTGCAGAATGAAATGATGGCTTTACTTTGACAACACAAGGTTATGGAGTTATCTTATAAACTTTAATATGGTGAATTATGAGGTTACAAAGCAGAGTAAATTATCATCTATAAAGTTAGCTAAATGAAGTGTTTTGGCTAGATGTGATTTGTCAATTTAGGAGAACTTAATTCTAATTAATGATGACATTTTTATACTGGACAACTTCTTATCTGGGACATCAGACACCAGCAGAGAAAATCTGAGCAGCTTTTTCCTACCGATTGGAAGGTGATCTGCAATTCAACCGCCCGGAGGGTTACCAGACTCTTGAGATGACTTATGAGCCGAAGGTGGGATTTCCCTCGACACTGGAAATCAGCTGAAATCTAGAGTCGAAAGTTGGCTCCTGAGGGGGGTCGGTTGATGAGCTCCTGGAGGGCTGCGTTTTCTCCTTCTGGTGGCAAAGATCTTCTGACAATAAATATCCAATTGTTTGACCTTACTTCTTCAAAGCTTCCTTCAGACTGCTCTAAGCCAAAAATGTCAGAAATAAATTTCTTTGACTTAGAGGCGTTACAATGTGATGGTCTAGCCAACCACGACAGAAGGGTGGACCTTCTTTCAAGTTACTGGTGAATTTTAAAAACCTTAATAAAAATATTAAATGGCTAATTTACTCTGCTTTGGTAAGTTCTCAATATAACAGAATAATCAAACTTCTAAGCAGCTTTTTACTCATCCATAAACATTTTCATTAGAACTTATGCACACAGTTGTAACTTCTGAACACCAGTTTTATATCAACTCCCTTTATGCATGATTACTGAGTATTGAGCTTAGAAAGTAAATAAACTTAGCCATTTTTACAGCAAAACATTCAATTCTGTTCAGGAAAACTCAGACATTTAACTTGTTAAAGAAATGATTTCTACCGTGAGATGGAAAGAAGAGTCCTTGAAAACAATGGGGTCTTTCTCACACTCTAAGTCTGGAGGATGAATCCTCCCTGCGTACGTTTTAGATGTTCTATTTCACAGGTCAGATGGAAAAGTTCTCATACAAAAGGACCTTTCAGCTTTTCTGAAATCCTAACACCAGGTGTGCAATTAATTACAATAACAGGTTTTTGTTATTCATCTTATATGATAACATGTGGTTCCTTACTGTCCAGCTTTGTGAATGGAGAGTCAGTCTTGCTTCCAAAGTATCAAAAGAATAACAGTTAATGATAGAAAAACCTTGATGTGTCCCTACAATTTTTTTATTTTTTTTTTACACTTTCACACTACCAGTAACTTACCTTGGTGATTTCACATGCATTATTGTGACCTCACTAGAGCTAATTTATGGGACAAGAACCCAAATAATCTTGATCAAAATCAGATTAATTATAGAACAAATTGTACATTTTTAACATCTGCCTGCAGCTCATCAATGAACTTGGTCCAGTTGATGCTCAGTTAGCTCCAGAGTTTCACAAACTACTAGCTGGTGACGAGAAAGAGAAAAGGAGCAGCAAAACAACCGATGGAAATAAGACCAAAATCTCCAGTAAAAAGGACATGGTGAGGGCTTTTTGTTTATCCTAATTCAGTACCTGTATGAAGTTAGTTCCAAAATACATTATTGGACAGAAATTATCTTTAAAACTAAGATCTACATGTTAACGTGCTCATTAAATGCAGGATTCTGGAGAAACGCTGCCTGAGGATGAAGACTCTGAGTCTGACCTGGACGAAGAAGCTGCTCTGCGCTTCTACAGAGAAGTGGAGGAACGGATGAAGTTGAAGAGGAAGAGCAAAGGCCTAGAAGCTGAGGAGTGAGTATGACTCGTGCCTACAGTTGGCAGCTGTGATGAAATGAGGATTTTAATGTTTTTCTTTTCATGAAGGCTGAAGGAGGACCATGAGGAGATGAAGGAGCTGGATGAAGATGGGAAGAGGGGAATCACTTACCAGGTACAGGGTGACAACTTTCACACAAAGCAGGAGTCAATAATCTGTGCATAATAATTAAAACTAGAAATACACCACCCATTTTATTGAAAATATTTGTTTAAAATTTAAATACGGTGGTGCTTGAAAGTTTGTGAACTATTAAGAATTTTCTATATTTCTGCATAAATATGACCTAAAACATCATCAGTGTTTCACACAAGTCCTAAAAGTTGATAGAGAACCCAGTTAAACAATTGAAACAAAAATATTATATTTGGTCATTTATTTATTGAGGGAAATGATCCAATATTACATATTTGTGAGCGGTAAAAGTATATGAATCTCTAGGATTAGCAGTTAGTTTGAATGTGAATTAGAGTCAGGTGTTTTCAATTAATGTGATGATGATCAAGTGTGAGTGGGCACCCTGTTTGATTTAGGTCGTTTTCACACCTGATAGTCCGGTAGACTCGGTTCGGGACCAATATTCATGAGCTTTTGTTTACATTTGAGCTGGTGCGTTTGCATTCACACTGCACTGTGCAGTCGAGTCAACCTGTTGAACCAACCCATTCCCCCGCTCACCTGTGGGGGCGCTGCACCAAGAACTACTGAAAGAAACAACACAAAAACCTCTGAAGACGCATCTTCTTCGTCTTCTGTAAATAAAAATAAAAACAAAGTGGCATCAAGTTTTAGCAGTTTTAGGAGTTATATTTTGTCATTTTTCAAAAATGGACTTAGCATGAGCAGAAGATGAGACAGAAGACCATGGAGAATATTGTTTTTCACACAAGGCAGCTGACGGCTCCATATAAGGTCAGAGAAATGCGTGTTTGTTTGTCCTGCGGAGCGGGTCATGGTCTGTTTACATTCACACTGCACTCGAACCGCGCTGGAGTTCGCTTCTTCCGGACCGAGACCTAGGTTTTAGCCCGGGCCAGAGTTCGCCTTTTTGTTCCGTGACAGAGTTCGATGGCACGTTTACACCTCCCTAAATGAACCGGACTTTCTAGGAAAACAAGCTAGAGTTCGATTAAAGTGGACTAAACAGGGCTGGTGTGAATGCACCCTTAAAGAACAGGGATCTATCAAAGTCTGCTCTTCACAACATGTTTGTGGAAGTGGATCATGGCAGGAACAAAGGAGAGGACCTCAGAAAAAGAGTTGTTGATGCTCATCAGGCTGGAAAAGGTTAGAAAACCATCTGTAGAGTTTGGACTCCACCAATCCACAGTCAGACAGATTGTGTATAAATGGAAGAAATCTAAGACCATGGACCAGGAGTGGGGGACCAACAAAGATCACTCCAAGAGCAAGGGAATAGTCTGCGAGGCCACAAAGGACCCCAGGGTAACTTCTAAACAACTGAAGGCCTCTCACATTGACTGATGTTCATCTTCATGAGTCCACCATCAGAACACTGAACAACAATGGTGCGCATGGCAGTGTTTCAATGAGAAAGCCACTGCTCTCCAGAAAGAGCATTGCTGCTCGTCTGCAGTTTGCTGAAAATCACATGGACAAGCCAGGTTATAGGAAGAATGTTTTGTGGACTGATGAGACCAAAATATAACTTTGTGGTTTAAAGGAAAAGTGTTATGCTTGGAGAAAGAAAAACTGCATTCCTGCATGAGAACCTGATCCATCTGTGAAACATGGTGGTGGTAGTATCATGGTTTGGGTCCACCAGGTACTGAAAGTAAAGGTTCACTTACTTTTGCTGCTCGCAAATATGTAATATTGGATCATTTTCCTCAATAAATAAATGACTGAATATAATATTTTTGTCTAATTTGTTTAACTGGTTTCTCTTTTTATCTACTTTTAGGACTTGTGTGAAAATCTGATGATTGTTTTAGGTCATATTTATGCAGAAATATAAAAAATTCTAAATGGTTCATAAACTTTGAAGCACCACCGTATTTGACTCTGCAAAGAGCGAAGCTTTTTCACTGCAATAATAAACCTGAATCCATTCAACATGGATTCATGTACAGGTTTAAATTTACCACTTTTGGTTGTATTTGTATGTCGTCTTGGTTGGTAACATGAGGAAAAAAATCCAACAGAATTGAGTTCTACATTATCCAATTTGTAAAATTACTCATTTTTAGCATCACAAAGTAAAAGTAAAATCTTTGTCACTGAAAAATCATCTTGAGAAATGGCAGAAAAGTAAAAACACACAGAAGTGATAAACTGGTGGTTGTGTTAATAGTGAGTGCAGAGTTAGTCTTACTCAGGACTTAATAAAATAAACAAACAAAAAACAATTTTGTGATTTTGATTATTTACTGATCAACAATTAATAGTTTTTATATACATTCAAAATAAAAATACCAGTTTTGAACACTTGTATGCATACAATTATTGACACATAAGTAGTGAGCACAATTGTTACAGGGCTGCTGTTGAATGTGTGCATTCTCTAATGCACATCAGCAGAGCAGGTCTACAAACGGTGCATACTACACTGTTTTTTATATTTCCACAGATGGCCAAGAACAAGGGGCTAACAGCAAAGAGGAAGAAAATCGACCGTAATCCCAGAGTTAAGCACAGAGAAAAGTACAGACGTGCTAAAATCCGCAGAAAGGGCCAGGTCTGTATCGCACACTTTGATTAAATCATGTTGATGCCGTCAAGTCTCTGAAGACTGACTGCACTTTGTTTGGTACAATAGCAAATGTTTATCCCACAATCTGGTCGTTGAGTGTTGAGCCTTTTGTTTTTGTTCATCAGGTCCGAGAAGCTCGTCGGGAGGAGACGAGATACAGCGGGGAGATGTCTGGTATTCGTGCTGGTGTCAAAAAGAGCGTCAAACTCAAGTAACCAGGAGCGAGTTAAGGATATTCCTAAAATATTCTCCTGTGAAAAAATATCAGTTGATTATATACTTAAATATTTTAATATCAGTGAAACTTTTGGCACAGTAGGTGTGGAATCTTGAAACGCTTTTTTGATAACGTCAATAAAAAAAATTTAAAATCTGTCAACTTGTGTGTTGTGATCGTACAGAAAAGGCTTTCTGATATTCGTGACACATTTACTCACAAAATTACATGATTTGTTCATAGACGGAACAAATATGTATACATTTTGCTGAGGATTCGCTAAAACCAAACTTCTGGGAGATCATTTCGCTGAAGCAGCTTGAGTCATAAACTTGGAGTGCTCAGACGTCAGGTTGCTCACGATCCTTTCCTCTATCTCCACCTCCTTCTTCACGTCCTCCTTACTGAGGATCAGCTCAGCCTGAGTTTCAGGAGTCACCACCACCACGTAGCCCCGTCTGGAGTCCAAAACGTTGGCCACCACTGCCTGGTGCCTGTAAGTGTCCAGAGCCCCGCGCGCCTTGTCGAGCAGGATGGATGCATCCGTCTCCAGTTTAAAGGATGTGACGAACGCTTGAGGTGCCCAGTCCTTAACGAGGGGGGACAGAATCTTGGGGACCATCTTCATGCTGAGCTAAAAAGAAATGAAAAGTTGGGATTTTGGTGGGAATTTCCTGTCAAAAACTAGTATTTAAGGTAAAATTTTAGTATTTTTTTAGTACCTTACACAAAAAAAACGGCGAGCTGTTCAAAATAATTAAATGTTCTCCTTGAATGAATCGTGCTTCAAAGAACAGTTTTCCGAGGATAAAAAAAAAGTCACTTTTCTAAAAGTACATAAATAAATGCTAATCTGAAACAGTGAACAAATTACGTTTAATTTTTCATATAAAAATTCTGGAAGATATGAGGAAACCTGGCTTTGTAACACCAGTCAAAATATTTTTAAAGATTTGAATCGATTAAAGAAGGGTGTAACCTTTGGTCCTCTGATATCAGGTGTGTTTCTGCAAAAAGACTGATCTGTTTGGAAAAGAAAATTTATTTGGCATAGTCCACACTAAAATGGTTCCCATTCTTGCTTTAAAATGTACTCATTACTAAGACGTAAACATTGAATGTCTACCATAGACCGTATAAAAACTGGATTCTCTAGATTCTTCATTGCGTTATTGAAAATTGCTCTTATGTTAGTTTTTTTCCAAACTAAAGTGAAGCTAAAGCTGTTTATTTTGCAGCAATTTGTGTGTTCCCCATTAATCACATTTCAGGTACCCACACAGCCAACCTTCCTGGATTAAACATGCAATTGACCCAATTAGGATGTCCATTTTGGGCCATTCCACTTGTGTGTATTCAAAGTAATGTGTAAAGTCCTACAATTCTTTGATATCTGTATTTAAATCTAAACATCAAAACATACTTTGAGTGTGTGGGTAGGAAAGCCCACTCATGCTTAGAGTTAGATGCTGATAAATAAGAATAAAACATATTAAATATTAATGTGACATGAATATTTTCTATGTCATTGCAATCCAGTCAGCAGATGTTATTGACAGATGTGACAGAAAATGTATGGGAACATCAGCAAGTGGAGATGATGCTTATTTAGTTATTTGCATTGTTGATTAGTATTTGTGCATTGTGCTTAGTGTATATTTAGGTGATGTTTTTCTTAGTTCATATCTTAGATGTTATTACTGTTTTTCTTATACATTTTATTGTTGGATGTAACTGGGACCCTGTGTACATAATTTCGCTCCACCACATGTACCACATGAGGTGCGAATGACAATAAAGAAACTCTGACTCTGATGCATTAAGAATTTTCCCCCTGGATCACAGTAGTGGAAATCCTGACATTTGCTATTCCTTTATGATAGCTAAAATAATCTTAATTGTCCCACAATTATAGGGATTGCCATTTTTCACTCACTTGAAGAGGTCCGTTGGATGACTGGATTTTGTGTTCAGGCATCTCCGATGTTGGTATGTAGAAATCAGACACAGCTGCAGCCAAGTAAAACATGGCCTTTGATCCTAAATGGAAAACAAGCATTTGGAAACGGGTTTTAAACGTGCGCTGAACTGATCTTCAACCTGTAAATGATTAATAATAGGTACCTATTGAGTTGAGTGCCTGTGCTGCTGCTTTGAGCAAATGGAGATACTCTGACAGTGTGTTGAACTCTATGGGCAGAAGAAGACCACCATCTTTCACTTCCTGATATCGCTTTAATACTTTTGCAATGTTTGGAAGCACCTGCTGGTTAACCACGACTTCAGCACCATTACCAGCTGCCCCTTCTCCTCCACCCATAAACTGCAGGGCATCCAGCATGTTAATGGTTACAAACATCCGGGTGTAAGGGTAGAGAGAGTGATGCCTGTGTAGGAAAATGACAGCATAGCCTGAGTCTATGAAGTACTCTGCAGAGGCGGCTCCTCGTCTGCCGCTGCTGAAATTATCGAGGAAGCGAACCGTGCGGGACTCCAGAGGAACTTTGGTGCCACCGGATGTGATAAGAACCACCCTGCGACCTGCTTCTGCATGGAACCTGGCAAAGGCAGCCATCTTCTCCTTGACCTCCTCAACGTGGGAGGGAATGGCAAACTCCTCAGTTAACTTTCCATCAATGGAACATATTCTGGGCTCAGCCATCACCTGATGAGAGAAGAGGCAGCATCATATCCACAGATTATGAATCATAACAAGAAGTTGACCCAGTGGTTAAAGCAGTTAAATAATTTGAGGCTGATTAGACAAGTCTCTGATATTAAATCTTCATAGTGGGTGTGCTTCAAGTCAATTGATCCTTTTATTTTTTTTATAAAAAATTAAATTTAAGAATGCATACTGCGATATTTAATGTATGCCAGCAAGTACGAGACCATAAAACCATTTATTTGGAGAATAATCATGGTGTATTTGATTAAAATTACAAAACTTTACGTTGTCAAAGTAGGAAATGTCATAACAGACTGCAACAAATCTACCATGACTACAAAAAAAACAGCTGTTTATTTAACTGCCTATAACCAATGTAACAAATACAACTAAATATGCGTTCATGAGGAGGTTTTGTAAAATCAGATACACATAAACTTTGCATAAATATTCTACACAGTCCAGAATAGCTACAAGACTTGTGGTTGTAAAAGGGCTTTCATGGTTTAGTTTAAATGAGACAAAAAAAAGAAACTGCAACAGACATATCAGATTCATAAAAAAAAGAAATGCTGCCTGCTATTTGTCATTAAACGGTCACCACAAATTAAAAAAACGACGATGTACTCACAGAAAAACCTGTAAAACGTCCTCTAGATTACGGATTGTTGTCAGTACTCCTGAACAACTTGAGCACTTCCTGAAAGTAGAAACAGCGCGAGACTGGTTTGCAGAAACACATGTGGAAGCCTTTAGCGCCCTCTGTGGCACTAAACAGTACTGCACGCACAGCAGGCTGTTGAAGGTACTGAAATTAGAGTAAAAAAAATAATACCGATTGGCGAGACACGCAAAGTACGTGTTGTTGACGCGTTGTTAACACATAATTTACGCGTTAATTAAGCGGGAACTTTTTACTAGTTTTTAACACGGAAATAATACGTACTTTACGCGTTTTTTAAGGGTCATCCGTCAAGTGAAATATTCACGAGTATTTGGCCCGGTTGGCTTTCCATAGACTCGCCGTGGCAACCATAGATAGTATTATTATTGTTGTTATTGATCGTTTCGCTCAACATTTTGTTTCTTAAGCTGCAGTTTTTATAATTTACCTACAGGGAGCGCTGTTGTACTGTATATGTAGAATAAACCAATCTCCCTTTTTTCCCCCTCATTCATTGTTTTTCATTCATTCAACCTTTATTTATACAGGTTTGTCTCATTGAGTCACGTGTACTCGTTTACAAGAGAGACCTGTAATATTGACAGGTATGACATATGAGCAGGTTGCTTTTTTCTTTTCCAAGTTTGAATGCTGCAATTTAATATAAAAGCGATGACTTCCAGACCACTTGTTTGACAAAAACTAAAGGTCTGTTAAATTTTCATTAAAGCAGCATAACAACATACAGATACACACAAATACATTTAGTTATGCCCGTAAGTGAAGATAATGCTACTACAAAAATAAATGTATTTGACTTCCAAACAAAAAATGTGAAGATTCTGTGCAGAACTGAAATTTATATTTTAAATAATGGTAATAGTATTTTTATGTTTATATCTCATGTGCAACTTCAATGTACGTCACATAAAAAACACAAACAATAGAACAAGTCATGATATTATGCACACAGACACAAACGCCACAGATATTATTCGTTGGCTACAAAAAAAAAAAAGCATATGAGTTCAAATTGTTTATTTTCTTATTTGTACATTTGTTTCAAAGCAGCTTCAATTCCTTCATAAGTGTTTACATCAAGGCCTTCCATACAGAATGAAAAAAACTGCAGTGATATTTTTTTTTTCCATCAAATGAGTCATTTGTCACTGCCCTGAAAATAATACACAAAGTTTTTAAAATCTCTATTAAATTCTGACACACATTGTAGCAACATTTTACTTTTAATACATGTTATATGGTATGAATACAACATTGTTTGCCTATAAATCACATTAAGAACAACTTTTACATCACAAGAAAGATGAAAAGACTGTAATGAACCGAACGTGGAGTATAAGGTCATCACACACTCTTTAATTAAACACACTGAGGTCATTCTTCTTTATGAAACAGTAATAGAACACTGAATGCAACAGATATTTCACTAAAAAAAATCAGAAAAAAAAAACGTTTCTAATAAAACTATCATTATAAATGTTCGAGTGTTCGTGTAATTTTTTATAGTCTACTGCATTTTAAATACTTCTTTACTTTGTGAATAGAAGTTAATACATTTCAAAATTAGTAAAAACTGGCTTTCCAGGTGCTTAAAAGTTTATTTGCTACGTGTATTTTCTGCTGAAAACTGTGTTTGTGTGTTCTGGTCATTAATGGACCATATTTGGATTTATTTGCAGATAATTTAAACCACAAATAAATAACTTAATTATTTGCAGGCTGGCTGCAGGTCTTGGAACGAAATTATGTACACAGGGTCCCAGTTCACCCAACAATACTAAAACCTGTAAGTCATTGTAAAGTGCAGGTTGCCATTTCTTTCTTTTTCAAAAACTTAAAGATATATTTTTTACCAAGTTAATTCTTCTGCTACAAGGCTTACTACTATCACGTGATGAAAATGACAATAAAATAGACTTGACATGAGATAAATGTTTAGTCAATGATTTGTTGCCATTTAGATAAAAAAAAAGTATATAACGTAATTTGTCATGACACGTAATTTGTCATAACACGAGGGTGGCTCAGACTGTCATCATTTACTTTTCATATTTTTATGGTCTAACACTGACTGCTTCCAACATGTCCATTCAGGGTTTTTTTATGTTTTACCTCAGAAGGCACTTAAAGTTACGTTCGCTCACAATTATCTCTAAATACAGCAGCTGTACTGATCAATATATTGATCAAGGCGCAGCCATTTACGTGTGCCGTTTCCATTGCGAGCGTGAGTGTTCTACCGCGCTAGTTTCTGTGGCGGCAGGCGTGGAAGGGGGGGAAATGTTCATGTGCGTCGTTATATGTGAAAGTAGTTCCGGGCACTTAACCCGAACGGAGGTGGGAGGGGTGTGGGGGAGAGGCCCGGATGTTGGCTCGAACTGGCGAGAAGGCGGAGAAGCTGAAGAGGTACGCCACGGCACCGCAGGCACACCGGCGAAGAAGATCCTTGCACAGGACAACAACGTCAAGACACGAAGGACACTCCTGGGAGGAAGAGGGCTGGGGGGGGACACACGTTATCTCGAGAAGAGTAGGTGGACGGAACGGGAGACTGTTGCTCTGAAACTAATCGTTGGGATTTACGGGAAGAGCCACCGTCTCAGCTGCTTTCATCCAGAGTAAGTGAGCTACACGGGAATGGAAGTTAAACTGAGGCCCAATAAATGGTCGACTTTGACGGGGGAAGTGAGCTGCAGTGAAGTTCTGGGGATTGAGCCCGATGAACAGGCCCTTGACACTCAGCTTTCCGTTTGTTGTAGCGGCGGGGCGTGTGGGCATATATATTAAATATATATATATATTAATGTTTTCTCTAACTGCTCAGTCTTATCCTCCCCGGTGGTCAGTGTTTGAACACTCCGGACGTGTTGCTGTAACTCTCCGGAGTTGACAGCTCTGCCTCGCGTTAGCTTGCTAGCAGCTCCGTGCAACCGGTGACAACTGACAGGGCAACTTTGACAGCCAGCTACTAGCCAGCGTCGGTTGAGCAGCTAACTTAAGCTAACTTAAGGTTGGCGCTTTTTTCAAGTATTAGGCGTGCGTGTGTTTTCTTCGCACTGGGAAGGATTTAATGACCTATCCCAAACCTCCAGCAGCTATCGTTAAGCTAGCTGTTTGGTATGTGAGACGGCTCGGCATGAGAGAGTAACGTGTGAGCCCAGTGTCGTTTGGCTTTCCTGCGTGCTCTGATTCACAGCTGTTGTTTTCTCGTCTGTCAAATCGTCTGTTTCACATGCGGCTAATAAATTCCTGTACAAAATGACGAGGCTTCCTCTGCTGACTCGTATGACGGCGCGCAGGCTGGACAATCAACAAGTGCAAAACCTCTTCCAGGTTAATTTCATGCTTTTGAGGTTATTGTGGCGCCCAGTTATACATTATCATGGGAAAGCACAGGCTGCAGTGCAAGAATTTGCAAAGTAGTTATAGGCATGATCCATTTGTTTTGGGGTCTTTTCATTTGAAGTGTCCTTGGTTTACTCCAGTGGCTTTTATTAGATGGTTGACTGTGCTCGATGTCACCTTGTGCACGTTTTCAATGCCTGGTTTCACAGTGTTGCTTTTAATTTGCAACGAGGCCCATCTCTTAAGCAAATCATCAGGTTTTCCCTTGACTAAACTTGTTACCATAAAGTGAGCAAAATAATCCTGAATTCCCTTTCTCTCTTTTTCAATATTTCAAAGCTTTTGGACCTCATGCTTCAACTACCAAAATGCCCACAGCGTTAGTCAGCACCCACAATCAAAGGTCAGATCTGGTTTGCTCCTTAATCACCCATCCTTTAAATAGCAGGCCCGCAGAGCTGTCTGGATCGAGGCTATTTGTGCATGCAGCTGTGGACAACACATGGAGTTTTAGTTATGATGGTCTTCCAGGTAAGCACAGCCAAAGTAACATTCCTTCTGAACATTAGGCTGTCATTTTGTGTTTAACTCGCCATTATAGTTTTTGTTGGTCGCATGAGTTTCAAGAAATAATTCTCTGAAGTCCATCAAAAGTCTCTCTCTGATGGATAAAAAAAAAATTGTATTTACAAGCTTATCAAAGCTGAAATGCATCTCAGTTTTCGCACCAATTTGCTTCAGTCATTGGTGGTCTTTACATTTAAATGCATGTACAACTGAGATTTTAATGGTAAATCCAAACGGTAGACTTGTTGTTTAAATATATTTTAATTGTACTTGTTCAATCAAAACAGTAATCTCATTAACAACATGCAGATGAAAAATGAATATGAAGAAGCTAAAGCTTGTGAAACTCCATCCCGTACCGTGTTGAATATTAAAAGCCGAATGAAAACGCTGCACAACAAACGTTGAAAAGATCATATATATTTTCACTAATCTTGATGACTTTCTATTCTTTGCATATCCATTTTCATTAAAGCCTTAATTAACTTAGATTTCACCAAAAACAAAGTGTAGAACAGTAAGCACGGCTGAAGTCACATCCTGTTGCTTTTTGCTGACTCAAGAATGACATAGCCAAAAATACAGCTTGTCTTTCTTAGTTACTTTCAAATAGGGCTGGACAATAATTCGATATCGATATATATCACTATATACTTTTATTCATTAATGGTGATATGAGTTAGATATTTCAATATGATTACAGCGTTGCACTGACACATTACTTTTTCTTTTCGGGTTGAAGCATCCGCTTCAGTTTCAACCCAAACAGCAAAAGCCGCGACACAATTACGTACGTGCGTGGTGATGTAGATGTTACGCAAAGCTCGAATCCAGAAGGCGGTAGCAGGCTAGGCTAATCTCCAACACACGTTAAGTTTTCGCTTCAAAATGAGTGCCCATGACCGTCAGAATGTGACTGAACAAGCTTTCAGAAGTGAAGAGAAAGCAGATGACGTAATTGATAAGAGAGGAAAGACTAATTTAGCAGTGTGGAAGGGGTTCGGCTAGCTAAGATCCGATAAACTGCAGGTTTCAGTGTGCTGCAAAATCATGTCGGAGAGTCGTTCTAACTAGCAGTGGGAACACATCGAA